TCTTTATTATCTTTCATAAAAGCATTTACCTTCTACCATACACTAAAAGCCATGCTATGTGCTGAACACTTATCTCACGGCATTTGTTATCTGTTGGTCTATGTCCCATCCATCTTATTATCTCTGTAATCCAATACAAAACACCACAAAGAAGCACTAATAGGGATGGCCCAGCAGCCTCGTAGTTAAGGGAACCGGACCTCACATGGCCAACTGTGGTTTGAATTCTAGATCCAGTGGTTTGAAAAACATGCCAGGCACATGTATTTGCATGCCCAAAACCCCAACAGGATGAAGTGTAGGAAAAGGAACTGAAGTGTAACCATGCCACACTGGAGGGTGCTTTCTCCTTTTCCGTCTCTGTCTCTCTCTGGCAAGAGGCACAAGTCCTCTGACAATTAAAAAAAAAAAAAGTCGGGGGGGGGGGGGGGCCCCGACAGTGGGGTGGGGGGTCAGGCACCAGCAGGTGGCGTGGTGGTTAAGGCACTGGACACTGCCAATGGTCAACCATGGTTTGAGTCCTGGACCTGGTGGCTTGCTTTCACACTTTCCCTTTCTCTCTCTCTCTGTGTCTCTCTCTGATCAAATTAAAATAAATGAATAAAGAAATAAAGAAATTTTTAAAAAGCAGCAGTAGCAGCATTAATAAATGTTTCCTAGATTAATATATATGTGCATCACATTGATACCTCCAGAAGTCAGAATTATAAGCCTTAAGTGGATTTTGTTTGTAGTTTTCACATACATTTTTAAGTCTCACTAACTTGTTTTGTAAACAGAAGAAATGATGCAAGTTTACTGATATGGAGAATTAGTAGTTCTCATGAACCCTAGACCTAGATTCCTTTACACCACGTAAGAAACTATTCTGAGGAGCCAGCTGGTCCACCTTTTACAAAACTGACATAGCTCTGGAATGTGGTCTTGGACACAGCAGGTATTCAACAAACTTTTATTGTTCAAAGCTTAGATATAAGTCCTCATATAGAAGTATGCCTCATAAGAAGTATAATAAGGGACCAGCAGTTAGCATAATGGCTATGTCGCTGGACTCCCATGTAGTCGACTGTGGTTCGAGTACTGGACCCGGTGGCTTAAACTCATGCCGGGCGTGTGTGCGTGCATGCCCAAGATCCTGAGAGGAGAATGGAGGAGAAGGGATTGCGGCATGGCCATCCCCCCAGGGAGTGATTTCTCGCTTTGTCTGTCTCTCTCTTTCTGGTGAGCGCACATGCCCTATGGCAAAAACCTCTCCAAAAAAAGAAAAAGAAAAAAAAAAGAAGTATAATAAAAGCATAGCTTGGTGGTCTTTCTTTGAACATGGCTCTAATTTTCCCATTAAGCTCATTCTGGAAGCTTAAACCAAATCTTCCCTTGACATCATATGCCCATTAACTCAGACATGATTTAGCATCTCATCAGCTTCTTCACTGAAAATCTGGAGAGAAAATATCCTCCCCATCACCCTGCCTAAAGGCAGTCATATCCCTCTAAATGTAAAGCCTTCACTTCCTCCAGACAAGCAAGCACCTGCTAGACTAGTTAGTGACAGCAGGTTAGCAAGACTGATGCTGCTGATGGAGAGATGGCAGCCCAGCACCATCCTATCTCACCCAGCACCTGCTCCCTGGGGTTCTTTAATTCTCACGATAAAGGATAGACCAACACCCACATTAGGTAGAAAGAAATTATCAGAGAGGAGAGGTGGGACTTAGGTCTATTTGAAGCCCCTATCATCGCCCCTCGCTAAAATGCCTGCACACTACCGTGGGTACTCGGTGTGCAACTCTCACTGTTCTTAGACAACTGTGGCTGGGGCTGGTAGGAGGTCAGCACTCAAGGACTCACAAAAAAGAGGATGCCGGGAAGAAGTATGGCTACTCAAAACATCTACTGACCCTTTAAAGAGTTGGTGAGGCCTCTGCAAAGAACATCTGGCTCTGCCTACCCAACAGTGGGCGAAAGGGATTGCTTCAGATGGCTGCAGTCAATCTAGCCTTCACATCACTACTTACACCCCCTTAACTACACATGTGACATAATGTAGCTGGTAAACAAGCTACCATTTAGTGAACACCTGGGCAGTGTTAAATGTATACATTGTCTCATTTAATCATCAAGATCATCTCAAGGTTCTCAAAATCTAGCTTGTATCAGAAACTCTCCAGGGTATTGTTAAAGCCCCCCACACACAGTCTATGGAAGCCTGAGAATCTGCACTTCCAACAAGCTCCCAGGTGAAGAGGATGCTCCGTATCCAGGTTCCACATTTTGACAACCACTGCCATTGGGAAATAAAGATTCGAGAGAGGTCTGGAATATCGTGTCCAAGGTTCCACAGCTAATAAGGAACAGATCCAGAATTTGAACCTAGCTCTGACTCCATAGATGGTACTGGTAAGCACACCACTGTATGTGACTATATGCCTAACTTCCCAAATTCACTGGCAGCTCCTTAAAAGTAGACATCACACTTTAGACTTTCTTCAATTCTCTAATAACGTAGTAGTGCCCTTGGATTTGGTAGGTGGTATTATGCAAATGCTTTGTATAGTGGTTCCAACATATTTATACACTTCTAAAAACCACAAAGTCCAAATTCAATTATAGCCAAAGAACACAAAGAGGGCAGAATTACCAGACCTGGTTTTATAAGATTCTCTCTTGGGGCCAGCAGTTGGTGTAATGACTATGTCACTGGACTCCCAGGTAGTCGCCCATGGTTCGAGTCCTGGACCCAGTGGCTTAAATTCACGCCTGGCGCATGTGCGTGCAAGCCCAAGATCCCGAGAGGAGAATGAAGGAGAAGGCATTGCAGCGTGGCCATCCCCCCTGGGGAGTGATTCCTGTCTCTCTCTGTCTTTCTGGCAAGCGCACGCGTCCTGTAGCAAAAACCTCTCAAAAAAAAAAGATTCTCTCTTGCTACTTCTGAATCTTTGCCCATATTGCTGTTGCCAGCACATAGGCTAACTCCTACTCATTCTTCAGACACTTCTTCCAGAAAGTAATTCTTGGCATCTTAAAATTGAGGGCCACTTGCCACTTTATTATAATTGGTTATTATCTATTTCTCAAATGGATTATAAACTCCAGCATCTCATTTAATAGCATATTCCCAGAACCTAGTACAGAGCCTGGCACATCATAGGCACTCTATAACTGTTTGTTGAATGAATAAACGAATGAATGCAGAGCAGCGAGCCCTAAGTTCCACTGAAAAATACCAAAATGTTCGATGTACAGTTCTCAAGGTTGCATCCGGGAAGGAGGACGGCAGGCTGGTTAGCAAAGACCAATCTTGTCTGTTCTCTTCCCCCCTCACACTTCGCAGTCTCAGAGAACAGCCACTGCTCAGGGCATTGCCATCTACGATGAAACAACATCCTGGCTGCACAAAATGCTCCTGGGCTATAAGGTCAGCAAAGACCATTCAAAAGAGAGGAAAGCTCTGAGCACCTCATTCCTTCAGATTTCTTTGTCACACACACTCTTCTCCATTTCTCCACTCCACTGCAGTCAAGGGATTTGGCACGGGGATGAAAGAGACAGATCAGACTCAAGGGTGCGGATCTGGCAGCGGGCACAGAAGCATCTCCTGCACCAAAGCCCATAAAGAAGGATCCAGAGGCTCAGTGACTCAGGCCCCGGATCAAGTCCAGCTAGAACAACTCTGAGAATGGAAAAGAGCAATAATTTCACAAGGACATTAACTGTTAGACTATCATTTTTAAAATAGTGTCTTGAAAGTACAACTTCAACCCTATCCCCAGAAAACCAGGCCCTTCTGCATCCAGTGCTTACACAAGCTGAGAGCCAAGCACAGCTTCCTCTTCTTCCCAACCCACCCACCAGTCTGCAACACTCACGACAGGCATTTCCCAGGCCCTGGTCAAGACCCTTGCTTCAACCTGAGCTTGCAGAAGGCTCCCTTTCAAAGGGCCTCTTAGCTGTCTCTCTTTCCCAGCTAATAAACTGTTCCCCACCACCACCATGTTTCAGTAATAGAGGCCTCCCTCTTCCCCAACCTTTCTCAGGCTATAACGCCACCTATGGCAGGTTGGCCTCATCCAATTAGTTTGAATTGCTTCATGCCAAGGAAATTGCAGCTTTTATTAAAATAAAAGCACAGTAAGGTCGAGGTTAAGGTTACCAAAAGAGGCATGCAAAAGCTCTCCCAAAAGCCTGGGGGATAAAGAGGTATAGCTACATGAGTACAGATAAACAGATGAACACACACAGAGGGAATTTACACAGATCTAAATAACATTCTCTCCAACAGAGGAAAAATAAAATTGAAGCCACTCTCAAGTCATTCTGCTTTTTGTTATTACAAAAAGAAAATAAAATGGGAGAAAAGGGGGCCTACTAGATTGAATTCAAAATAATCACATTCGTTTCATGTATTTGTTATCTTAGCTATATCCTGAGAACCTGACTACAGTTGGGTCAGGAAACGAACCTACTCAAATCCACCAAGAGCCTCCCTCAGTGGAAAAACATACTCCCATTCTCCAAAAACCCTGTCTTCTTTCCAATGCCTACTCCTGGAAGTAGGAAAGTTGGGTAGAAGGAGAAGCCCCTCTCTCTTACGAAAGCCCCCTCAACCCCACCCTTCAGCCTTCACATGAATATTTCAAGTTTTAGAAAGATGACAAGCCCACTACCCTGTGTTTGATGTAAAGGTTTACACTTTCACACATGGTTTTTTCTGATTCTCATAATTTTGTCAGAGGGAGAGAGTAGCTTCTCAACGTTTTTTGTTTGTTTTTAAAATAAAAAGCTACTGAGATAAACAATTTCAGCAACCTTCCCCCAACCCCCAACATCCCAGTCACTTTCAAATCTGTGTAAAATCTCTCAAGGACAATGACTTACAGGGCAAGTGAAGGGGGAAGGGAGGGTCATTGGTCAAACCCATTCATACATCCAACAACCAGAAACCAGAGTCCTGCCGCATCAGCACAAGATTTTAATTTAAGGCGCACTGAGTCCAACCGTACCTTCCGCCAACACCTCGTCCACGGTGACCTGCTGTCGCCCGATGCCAAAGACCCTTCCGATGTAGCCACTGCCCAGGCCTGAGGTGCTGCCCCCTCCTCCGCTGGAGCCTGAGCCCAGGCCAGAGCCGCCCTGCTCTCGCCGGGAGTCGAAAAACTTCTTCATCTTGCAAATAGGAAGCAGCAAGCAAAATACCAATGGTTTTAGAATTCTTTTTTTTTTTTTTTTTTTTAAGAAAAGAGATCCAAGGATTTCCTCTCGGATTTCAGCTCGCAGAGGAGCCACCCGAATCTGGCCGTGGGGGTGGGGGCTGAGAGAGGATGCCTATAGGAATATGCGTGTCAATCGCGCGGCCGGTCCCCTCCTCCTCCGGAGAGCGATTCGTGTAAGTTTAAACCTGTGATGACAGAGGAAGAGAGAGGATGAATCAGTAACATACTTAAAAATTCAACTGCTGAGTCCTAGGGGGAGCAAAACCATCACCCTGGGGAAACGCTTCATGCATTTCCCTAGCGAGAAAAACCCTGGGGCTGTAAACGCGCCCCCGGCCCCAGAACCCAGGACCCCGTGCCCGGGGCTAGGAGAAAGGAGGGACTCGGCCGCCCGGGGGAGCGCCCAACCTG